TAAACACACTAACATTATATTAACATTAACACACAAAACCCTGAATCTAAAATAAACAAACTAACATTATATTAACATTAACACACAAAACCCTGAATCTAAAATAAACACACTAACATTATATTAACATTAATACACAAAACCCAGAATCTAAAATACACACACTAACATTATATTATAAACACACTTATTTTAGATTCTGGGTTTTGACACACTAACATTATATTAAAATTAACACAAAAAACCCAGAATCTAAAGTACACACACTAACATTATATTAACATTAACCCACAAAACCCAGATTCTAAAATACACACACACTAGCATTATATTAACATTAACACAAAAACCCAGAATCTAAAACACACACACTAACATTATATTAAAATTAACACAAAAATCCCAGAATCTAAAATACACACACTAATATTATATTAACATTAACACAAAAAACCCAGAATCTAAAACACACACACTAACATTATATTAAAATTAACACAAAAAACCCAGAATCTAAAATACACACACTAATATTATATTAACATTAACACACAAAACCCAGAATCTAAAATAAACACACTAACGTTATATTAACATTAACACACAAAATCCAGATTCTAAAATACACACACACTAGCATTATATTAACATTAACACACAAAACCCAGATTCTAAAATACACACACTAGCATTAATCAACATTAGCACACAAAACCCAGAGTCTAAAATACACACTAACATTATATTAACATTAACACACAAAACCCAGAATCTAAAATAAACACACTAGCATTAATCAACATTAGCACAAAAAACCCAGAGTCTAAAATACACACTAACATTATATTAACATTAACACACAAAACCCAGAATCTAAAATAAACACACTAGCATTAATCAACATTAGCACAAAAAACCCAGAGTTTAAATACACACAACATTATATTAATATTAGCACACCAAATACAGTATCTACAAAATACTAACATCTGCTAAACATTAGATCACAAAACCAAGAATCTAAAAACACAGTAACATTAGATCAACATGAGCACACAAAACCCAGAATCTAAAAGACACTAACATTAGGTCATAAAAAACCAGAATCAAAAATAAAACGGTAACATTAGATCAACATTAGCACACAAAACCCAGAATCTAAAAGACACTCACTCTGACATAGAACATCTAGAAACTGATTCCATTGAATAAAAGAAGTTTTTCTATTTTGATACAGTGAACACTTCACCAGAAACTAAGAATAGGTTGAAATGTGTTAATTTTACACAGAAAGAAGAAAACATGACACTAGATGAGATCATGTGATATTGATAACAATAGAACACGCTAACTAAGAATAGGTTGAAATGTGTTAATTTTACACAGAAAGAAGAAAACATGACACTAGATGAGATCCTGTGATATTGATAACAATGAAACACGCCACGATGCTTTATTTAATACTCGTTAACAGTTAACTGTTTGTAAACAAATAAAAAATATTAAATAATCTTTGATATTTTATATTATTTTTTTCATTTATGAACTTTAAATTCATTCTTATCTTCCACAATTCCTTGGCATGGCCAGGTGGTTAGGGCCCCGGCATGGCCAGGTGGTTAGGGGCGCTCGTCTCACAATCTTCGGGTCATGGGTTCGAATCCCCGTCCGTACATGCTCACCCTTTCAGCCGTGGGGGCGTTATAATGTGACGGTCACTCCCACTATTCGTTGGTAAAAGAGTAGCCCAAGTGTTGGCGGTAAGTGATGATGGTTAGCTTCCTTCCCTCTAGTCTTAAACTGTTAAATTAGGGACGGCTAGCGCAGATAGCCCTCGTTTAGCTTTGCGCGAAATACAAAACAAACAAAATCGTTATTAACAAGTACTAAAAGCTTACCATTCAAAACTGATAATGTTCCTCTATTACGTTAAGGTCACAGATACGTAAAGGACCCAAAAACGGCCCATTCCGTCAGAGAAGACGATCATACGATAAACTGGGATAACTCGAAAATAATAGAATATAAACCAAGCACGTGAAAAAAGCCTTCCACGTCCATCTAACTGATAATACTGGAAAAGTTTTCATGGGACAGACCACAGTCCAGGTGACTGTACACCAGACTTTTTATCGAGACGAACAGTGGCAGCAGACATTTAGGTTGAAAACTATCAATAACAATAAATAATGAAAAATAACTAGACTCACTGAATTCATAGCTCACTAATTTGTTGTATGTAAATGAAATTAATTTTAGATTAAACCTAATGTATCAAGTTAGAACACTTATAGGTACTATTTCTTGTATAACAATCAGACTCTGACGAGTCACGAATAGACCACGATTAAGAATATATTGTTGAAAGATATTCGTACTTTAATAGAACGTAGCAGCGACCTGTAAAACGTTTGTAGTAGTTTTCATGCCCTTCGTTTCACTTTCCCTTATTCTATCATATTTGTGCACGGTATTTAAGCTACGTTTTCTTGCAGGCATTATGTGTTACTTCGATATATCACGGTCTATTTGAAGAAAAAAAAAACGAATAATAAAACCTGTAGTAAAGAAAAAAGTAGCTAAAAGATGTTAATAGCTGTCTATGAAACGAACCGAAGCTAAATTATTGCGAAATAAAATAAATGTAAAGTTGTGATGAAGACAAACTAAGCTGAGGATGCAGAAACGTCCGAATGCGTGTTCCCCAAAAAAAGAAGATATCAAATCAAAACAACGTTTCGTCACTGTTAACGTTGCATCATTAGTGACGAAGCGTTCTTTTTATTTGATATATTTTTTTTGTATCCCATTTTAGCTCTTTTATGAATATTTAAAACCTATATGTCGCTTTCTGACACGGTCGTTATATCGTCCAGCGGTACGGGTTTTCGGGTCCTTTGCGTATCTGTGACCTTAACGTAATAGAGGAACATTATCAGTTTTGAATGGTAAGCTTTTAGTAATTGTTAAGAACGATTTTGTTTGTTTTGTATTTCGCGCAAAGCTAAACGAGGGCTATCTGCGCTAGCCGTCCCTAATTTAACAGTTTAAGACTAGAGGGAAGGAAGCTAGTCATCATCACTTACCGCCAACACTTGGGCTACTCTTTTACCAACGAATAATGGGATTGACCGTCACACTATAATGTTCCCGCAGCTGAAAGGACGAGCATGTTTGGTGGGACGGGGATTCGAACCAGCGACCCGCAAGTTACGAGTCGAGCACCCTAACCACCTGGCTATGGTTATGAACGAAGTGGAACCGACATCTTTCCGAGTTACAAAGCAACAACAGAAACACTCTTGAAATGTTAGCACGAAAAACTCGCCTACCTAATTCAGTCACTTTGTCCATTACTTCATCCAAGTCAAGGAACCAATTTCATTAACCACCACTAAAACGTTTCTTGTCTAAAGAGCTGCCAAGTTCTTTTACAATATCTCTACGTATATCATTTCATAAATGATTTCAAACCAACCACGAGGAGCTGAGAAGTGACGCAAATTTTTCAACCATCTCAAAACTTATCTAACAAAAATGTTTTATGAGTGAATAACTTTACCCAAGCTTGTTTATTCTCTGATGTCACATAATACGTCTGAAAGTAGATAGTTTCGTAAACAACAGTAATCTGTAACAACTTATACTGAACTCTATAAGTGTTATCTGTGTGGTGGTAAATGATAGCTAACAAACGTCGCATGAATCTGATCTTGGCAGGAAATAGAAAACCCATGAATCAGGACTATCAACCTGTTCTTTAGTTAATGTCAGGACTATCAACTTGTTCTTTAGTTAATGTCACAACTATCAAATTGTTCTTTAGTTAATGTCAGGGCTATCAACTTGTTCGTCAATTAATGTCAGGACTATCAAAATTGTTCTTTAGTTAATGTCAGGACTATCAAATTGTTCTTTTGTTAATGTCAGGACTATCAAATTGTTGTTTTGTTAATGTCAGGACTATCAAATTGTTCTTTAGTTAATGTCACGACTACCAAATTGTTCTTTAGTTAATGTCAGGACTATCAAATTGTTCTTTTGTTAATGTCAGGACTATCAACTTGTTCGTCAGTTAATGTCAGGACTATCAACTTGTTCGTCAGTTGATGTCACGACTATCAAATTGTTCTTTAGTTAATGTCAGGACTATCAAATTGTTCTTTTGTTAATGTCAGGACTATCAACTTGTTCTTTAGTTAATGTCAGGACTATCAACTTGTTCTTCAGTTAATGTCAGGACTATCAAATTGTTCTTTTGTTAATCTCTCTAAAACGTCTTATATAGGGTCATTTTGTTTGTTTGTAGTTCTAATTGTGCTATCTGTGCTGTACCAACCGCGAGAATTGAACCTTGTCCTGTTACTTAACTCATGCTACAATCGAATTAAATGAAGCTGTGATAGATTAATTTGTGATCTATAATCTTGTTCTTTTGTTAGTTAGCTCACGCTGAACACATATACGATAAGAGCATATACAGTAATGCACTTCAACAGTTTTTAACGTGCGTCATGAAACAGACATAGTACAAAGTTTTCTGTTCTCGTTCAGTTTCCTGTAGAGTAAGCATTAAAAACCTCAGATTGAGGTGATTATTTTTAAGCTCTCATAAAACTATCTATCATACACATACGTCATAACTGATTCGAGATTGTATGTTCTAAATACACAATTCATCCTTACGCAAGGTTAAAAAATCTGGAGTGCTTTTCGGACAGACAGACAGTGTCGAAAAATTCCTGTATAACTTCAAACTACACCAACCTAACTTCCAAACATAAACTCATACACCGATTTACGAAGATGTTATTGACATTATTGGGCTGATGAGAGATTACAATATCCTAGTTGTAATGTGCATTGAATAGTCTTCTACTTATTATTAGTTGAAAATTTAAGATTAAAATCCTGGTAACTGGCTTTATTTAAATTTAAAGTTAGCAATAGTGGATTTATAAAGCTTAATAGGTTTATTTGTAAATTGTATGTTTTAACAAAATATTTTATTTCGCGCAAAACTACTCGAGGGCTATTTGTGCTAGCCATTTCTCATTTAGAAGTGAAGGCAACACCACCCACCGCCAAATTTTCGGTTACTTTTTATCAACGAAAAGTGGGATTGACCGTCACATAATGGCGCCCCTACGGCTGTCATGATTTGAATCATCGACCCGTATATTGCGAGTTAATCACCTTAACCTCCATGTCAAATATTCAACAAATTCAAAATGTTCTTACCTTCCTGGGCATCACTGTCATCAGTACTTGTGAGTTAATCACCTTAACCTCCATGTCAAATATTCAACAAATTCAAAATGTTCTTACCTTCCTGGGCATCACTGTCAACAGTACTTGTGAGTTTCTGCAGAACCCAGAAGGAACGGGATTGTCTGAAGTTCCCGGGATTCTGGGAATCTGAGTCGTAACGAACACCATGATTACGGGGTAAAGATCTGGGATACTGTTCCGGGGGATTATAGTGGCGCGGATCTTGTTCGTTATTGGCCAAGTTTAGTCTGAAATTAAAAAAAAAAATTCAAATGATTTTCTTACATTCATGAGAATCACTGGATGCAGATAATTATGTTTTTAAAAGGAACAGTATAAACGTAGTATATTTTGAAAGATTACCAACTGTGATGACTACTGTTTCTCTTAAAGTACAGAACCAATTATAAAGAAATAAAACACAAATATGGATTTCGGAAAATACTTAACAGTAATCTTTACTTGATTCATGTACCGAGTTTTATGTAGACAGAAGATAGAGAGAGACTTATAGACAATCACGTGACATTTTCTTACCCTTCTAATTGGCGGATAGAGTCTCCTGTTTGTGATGTATTAGCATCCAAAGCGATGAATGGTGTAGAGCCCAGATTCGGCGCATTGTAGAATGGTTTCGGAAGCTCCTGTGACTGTGGGTTAAATCGGAGGTTTGCAGGGTATGATAGGTTTGACAGTGGTGTTAATACCGGTTGTTGGTTTACTATTACTGGTAATACAGGCTGTCTTATAGCTCCTCGTTTCTCACTTTGAATCGATGGGCTAGAAGGTCCTCCCATAACCTTAGGCCTAGGAGGAACGCCAGGATTTTTCTGATTGGCCATAATCCTCTTGGCCATTCGAGTCGACTTAATCTCTGACAAATCGATCCCTCCGGGAGTGTACGTGAAGGGTTTTTTATCTTTCTTCAGCGTCCCATAAAGTTGTGGAGGTAAATTACTGTATTGGATATCGTCACTCTCAACTGAACTAGGGACGTTTTTCTGGGGCATGGAAACCCCAAAGTCTCTCTTAACCGGCTGGAAAACGAATAATTATCAAATGGTAAAAAAAAGATCGTTAAAGAAGTAAATGAATTACAAATGTTGCCTACTCTAAAGTTATTCGTTATTTGGTTCTCCTTGAGATACTTTTACTCGTTACATACATAATATTTTGGATGATAAGGATGATTACTTGTTCTTCTGGAGTAGCTTATAGGTGCTAGCCGTCCCTACTTTTGAAGGGATAGGCTAGAGGAAAGGAAGCTAGTCAGCTCTTTAGCAACTGATAGTGGGACTAACAGTTACATTTATAACGCTCCTACGACTAAAAACGCAAGCATGTTCGCCGACGGGCTTCGGTCCCACTACCAAGGATTGCAAATCGAGCCCCATTACCACCAGGACATTGCCCAGAAATCAACTGTATCCGTCTTTGATTTTGAACTTCTGACCTAAGGGTGGAGGGGGGGGGGGTAGCCAGTCAACAGCACCCACTGCCACAAGAGCTATGTTGAGCTCCGAGAACAGAATGGTTGGATTGGCTGCAATTTTTATATCGTGCCCACAACGGAATGTTCAGCATCATCACCTCTCGAACCTTATAGTGGTTGTACGGTAACCATTGAACTATGCCCGGCCATCAAATTGACACCACTTTCAGTCAAGATCTTGAGAAATATGACATTTAAGTGTTAATATGCTGTACTATTTGAAAATAGTTAATAATGTTGTTTTAAAAAGTTTACTAGTTGGGACCCGTAGATAATAACTGTTAGTGATAGTAAAGAATACAATAAGGAAAATAATGTTGGGTCGATGGCGCTAAAATTGATATAGGCCTAACAATTAATGCATCATAAAATACATACAAAATTTGAAAGGTTGTTCCATACCTTTGAAAGTTCAAAGAATGTATCCTCACGAAGAAAGGAAGGTAGGGTTATCACACGTGCTAACTTTGATTCGTTGGACCGTAAACAAAATAATAATGACGTACACAGCTGTGGGCAGGGCAGTGTGCAATCGCACAAGCGCATTATTGAGCTCGTGCACTCAAATGAGCCAGACCCAAACAAAAAAAAATAACAGACTCAACCAACCTTATGACAGATTACATAACACAATATAAAATCCTCAAGCAGAAGAGCCTAAAACGTTAAATATAATAGCCTCAAGCATAGAGCCTAAAACATTAAATATGATAGCCTCAAGCAGTAGAGTCTAAAACGTTAAATATAATAGCCTCAAGCATAGAGCCTAAAACATTAAGTATGATAGCCTGAAGCACAGAGCCTAAAACGTTAAATAGAATAGCCTCAAGCATTAGAGCCTAAAACATTAAATATGATAGCCTCAAGCAGTAGAGTCTAAAACGTTAAAAATAATAGCCTCAAGCAGTAGAGCCTAAAACATTAAATATAATAGCCTCAAGCATAAAGCCTAAAACGTTAAATATAATAGCCTCAAGCAGTAGAGCCTAAAACATTAAATATGATAGCCTCAAGCATAGAGTCTAAAACATTAAATATAATAGCCTCAAGCAGTAAAGCCTAAAACATTACATATTGTTACGTCTCCGTTTGTTAATTAACTTTCCGTAACTTCGTTCCGACGAAACTTCAGCGACACAAGTTCTTTACTTAATAAAACTGGTTTATTCTTTCCGAATACAACTTTACCGATACACTTGATAGTGAGTAATTGAACTGCAGTCACAGGATATTGTTGAAGTTAACGTTCGTTTGCTATAGTGTTTGTTTTAGCGCGAATATTGAAATTACGCACACATTACATTACCGCGTCACGTTGTCCCCTCCTATATATACCCGCCTACCCTATATCTAGTAAGAACTAGAACATTCGCCAAAGTACAGGATAATTCTAGAAAGTAGAGAACGTGAGAATCACATGATCTCGATGACGCAACAATACCATTTGATATCATACTCTGTATATCCTGGGTTTCGTTTGTGTGTGCTTTTACAATGTTTGTTTGTGTTTTGGAAGATATCATTCTTTCAATTTTTGTGAAAGAAATACCATATTTTTTGAGTTCGTCTTGTACTTGATTTATTGTGATGGTGTAATGTAGGCCCTTGATAATAAAGGCTTTCCTTTCTGGTTTGGTTCCAGATAGGTGAATTGTGATGTTGCCAGGCTTAAAGGCATCAAC